ACATAAATTGAAACGGAGGGAGTATATAATAGCCAAAACTTCTGCTAATTTAAAAGTCATACACAATCCTCAAAACTAAATGATAACTTTGTCTAATGTGAAATTTATTTCTAAAGGCATAAAAACGAGAATATTTAGCATAAAAGTTCTGTGCTTTTAGAATACCAGACATATAGGTAGCTAGATTGATAAAGATAGATATAGATGACAAGTAGGTTAAACATAAAAGTATGAGTTTTACTAATATTCTAAAGTGACCTTTCTATACTTATCCACCATTTACCTCACTAAAAGAAGTTGAAGGAAAAAAAAGAACCTTAAAAGTTGGCTAATCTGCTCAAGGGTGTTGTCTCTATTTTGGATATTCTCGGTGACTTTAACATATAATTGATCAATACATATAGGTTAGACAATTATTAATTTAATCCATGTATTATAATTTCAATGTTATACATAAATACTGTATTATAATTCCGACGTTATAATTCATGCATTACTAATCCGGACATAACTAATCCGCATAACTTGCTTCTCAACCAAATGGCCCCTAATGTATTGACAGAAAAAATAATAAGGTAACCAAAGTAAAAGAAAAAACAGTAATAATAAATAATAATGTAGGGATCATAGTACATGGATTAATAATATAGGGATTAGCAATAAGATTATTTTTTATTGGGTGTTTGGCTCTTTGTACTAAAAATGGGATATATAGGGTAAAATTTAAAATATGGAGTTATTTTTAGCCTTATTAAAATTAAAAGGGTGTCGATGATGAAATTTGAGGAAAAGATAAAGGGTAGTTTTGTCTTTTGGTGTTTAATCCATGTATTGTCATTCGATGTTACATTTGGTATAAATTAATACACAAATTAGTGTACTAAATTATCCCGGGATTAGCGATGCAGGACTTAAAAGACCAACCAAACACTTGATAAAATAATACCAAATTTTATACCATGATCATTTTATTCAATCCATCCATCCAAATGAGTCCTTAAAGTATCTTCACACCTCCATCCGTGCTTCAAAAAGCTGACCCTATTTGAGTTTCTGTTGCCAACCTCATGATGCTTCTCCAAACTCCCTAATTCTTGAAACCCCTTTTGAGTATATCATACTTGTTCACGGTCATTGTCCTCCATAATACATTCTCCTTGTTCCCAAACATCCGCAGCTGCTTTCCAAGTAAAGCTCTGTTGAAGACTTTCAAGTCTCTTACTTTGAGCCCTCCATGCCAAATAGGGAATGTAACAACGTTTTCACCTTACCAAATGAAGCTCTCTCGTCCCTTTGTTCATCTTCCACCAAAAATTTGGTTGAAATTTCTCCATTATAGTTGGCTGGTGTAGGCATGAAGGACATGTAATATATGGAAACACTTGATCATATGATTTTGATCATGACTTCCTTACCCCTTTATGACTAGTACCTATATTATTACCCTGCTAATCTCTTCTCAACTCTTTCAATCACAACATTTCAAGCCGGAGTGTCGTTGTTTGATGCTCTTAGTGGTAGTTCTAGGAATCTTTGGGAGTGCTCCAATTCTTTAATTGCTCAATGTTGGTCACCTCTTACCAGAATGATCTCGCACTTTTGAGGATTGATTTTCAATCTCGACAACACTTGAAACTATACTAGGACCTATCTCAAGTAGAAAAGCTGAAGTATCTCTGCCTCTCTGGGTCTCATCCATGAATAGTACATGAAAAACTCTGGCATTTCCATTGCTCCTTAAGCCTGGATTGAATCCTTTAGAGAGCTGCCTACAACTGCTATGTCCATCATCTTGCTTATTGCTTCCATCACCGAAATGAACAGTATAGGTGATCTGCTATCGGTAAAGCGGAAGTGCTTCCATTGACTCTGTGACCATGAGACTATTTGGCTAAACTTTTTCGCGCTTGGAGTAGGTCTCCAATTCCTCTCCTTTCCACTTCCAACCAAGAGGTTGTGAGTTCGAGTCACCCCAATAGCAAGGTGGGGGGTTCTTGGAGGGAGGGAGCCGAGGGTCTATCGGAAACAGCCTCTCTACCCCAGGGTAGGGGTAAGGTCTGCGTACACACTACCCTCCCCAGACCTCACTAGTGGGATTATACTGGGTTGTTGTTGTTGTTGTTGTTTGTATTAATTAGAATAATAGTCCACTATTGTTCCTTCATCCTTCTTCTATTAACTATTGTCAACCTATGGAGTAACTTTGTCAACCTGTGGAGTAACTTTCTATTGGAGTAGCCTACATTTGAACCAAAGTGCTTTCAATTTTTTTCTCCAACTAGTCTCCTGTGCTATTACATCATTGTTAACTCCTCCTTCACCTCTGACTCCGAGTATCTCATTTTTCCTCCTTATTTAGCTTCCTACCCTTCCATCTTAGATCTACAAGATGCTCATTTGTAATCTTGGCACGGGTAGTCATTTTAATGCTCCTTTTTTATGCACCAACGTTGTGACCTAGTGGTTAATGAAGTGATATACAAATCTTAAATATCAGGGTTCAAATCCTAGCAGAGGCAAAATTCTAAGTGATTTCTTTCAAATTTGCCTAAACCTTAAAAAGGGCAGCCCGATGCACTAAGCTCCTGTTATGCGCAGGGTCCGGTGCACTTAGTGGACAGAATTTATTTGTGTTGATGAGAGGTAACAAGTATCCGATGGATAATTGAGGTGCGCGCAAGCTGGCTTAGACAACCGTAGTTAAGGAAGAAGCTCATTTTTTTAATCTAAAACAAGGATGCTAATCTACACATACCAAAACTGGCCGTCACAATCCACAACTAATTAGCTGACAGCACTTGCCTCAAGAAGGGCCTCTCTCAAAGGCAGATCCAGGATTTTAAGAAGATGGGTGCACCACTGCTGATGGCGGAAGAGGGACGAGTCACAACTGCCAATTTGTGATTCTAGCAATTTCCAAGCTAATGTTCGAAAGTCACTATTGTTAGGGCTTGGTAGTTGATGAAAGGTATGGGAGAATAGTAAGTATTATCAAATTAAGTTGCTTGAAGGTTAACTATAGGTAATTTCTCACCACAACCATTTGATTGGTAACCTGTAATGGTAACTAACCTGTCAAAACTGTAAAATTATAGTGATAATGTAAACATCTTTTAACTAATATATTATCAATGTATGATGCTAAATCCTTTTCAAGAGGGAAAAATTTTAAAAAAAGAAAAAAGAAAGAGATTAGCCTGTTTGGCCAAGCTTCTAAAATCAACTTATTTTGAAAAGTGCTTTTCAAAAAAAGTAATTTTGATGAGAAGCAGTTTGTGTTTGGCTAATTAATTTGAAAAACACTTTTGAGCAGCAATTAGTGTTTGACCAAGTTTTTAAAAATTACTTGCAAGTGTATTTTTCTCAAAAGTGCTTATGGGAAGAAGCTACTTTTTTCTGCTTCTCAAAAACTGCTTCCGTTTCTACTCAAAAACACGTTTTTCCCTCTAAAAGCTTAGCCAAACATCTTAACTTTGGAAAAAATCACTTTTGGCCAAAAAGAAACTTGGCCAAACAGGCTATAGGGCTGCTTGGTTTTGGAAATAAAAGCAGGAAAAAAACATGGAAAAAGGATGAGAAGAAAGATTCAAAGGTGAAAAAGGAAAAAAAAATGTGAGAATGGCGCTTGCCTGTGAACAGGGGAAAAAGTTTCGATTTTCCTATGGCAAAAGTTCAGCCAGTGAACTAAGAACTCATTTGAAAACATGGGTGCGCAGAATGCATGGGTTCTCAGGCACCACTGGCTCCAAGGTATATGTGCCACTGGCCTCTCTATAGGAGATGTGCTTTCTAGTAACTTATGAGGTCATTTCAGTACCTTCAAAAGACGCCCTTTTATTCAGGCGCCAATTTTCCTGTTTAATTTGGAAGGTTTCATTGGGATTTATGAAGTTCATAGTTGAATAGAACTCAGGTAGGTTGTCTTTCTAAAATTAAAAGAATAGAATTCAGGTTGTGAGATAGAGATGATGCATAAACTTAATATAGTTTCCAGCAGAACAAGGACCTGTTGCAGAGCACCAACTCCATTTTATGAGGTTGGTTTGGAGAAAAACCTTCCATTCTTAACTAGTGGTTGTCAATAGAATGGAAATTTATGTCTGAATTTGATAAATTTGGGCTAATTGAAATCATATTGATTCTTTAAAGTTTCTGTTGCAATAGTTTTTCAACCACTTCTATACGTCAACCAAATATTTTTGGAAAAAGGGCTTATGCAAATTTAAAGATTTTCCTTGTGTTTTAATTAGGAGCATTCTTTTGTATCTGTTGCATCCCCTGGAAGCCTTATGTGAATAAGGTTCCACCATTCATCCAAAATAAGATGTTATATCATCTTTGAGTTAAACCCCAAAACAAAATCGAACAGATACACAAGCCAATCGAACAGATACACAAGATCAAACTGCTAATCTCTGTCAATAAGCTCTTAAAAGAAATCTATAACTAACAATTTTAAATATCCATCACAAGTCAAAGATAAACATGGGCAAAGCAGCAGGTCTCATTTTATGCAATCATGCTACTGTATTTTTCTGTTTACTTGTAATTATCAATGGATGCAGTACACTTGCTAAATCAGGCAGCTCTTTTGAGTTTGTTACTCCCTCCGTCCCAAAAAGAATGACACCTTTCTATATTTATTAACTATTTAACTTTAAACTTTCCTTTTTATCCTTGATGAGATGATATATAGCCTCACAAATATCTCTGACTTGTTTTAGACTACAAGTTTGAAAAGCCTTTCTTTATTTCTTTCTTTCTTAAATGTTGTGTCCAGTCAAACACCATCACATAAATTGAGACGGAGGGAGTTACATTTTTCTCCTAGCTTTTGATATGGGGTGGGGGTGGGAGAAAGGAAAATGAACATAAGTTGATTCCTATTGATTTAGCATCAATTAGGTTGAGCAAGCGGATGCTGTTTTACAGTGTTTCATTTCTTATGTTCTGCTAGAGAATCTGATGAAATGATTCTCCATTCCCCCTTCCTGGAACAGGTCTGGCTCATCACGATAATTATCATGAGTTCTGTCGGCTTCTTGGACGTTTTAAAGTCAATTATCAGGTATGAATTGAAGCCTCTGCTCCCTTACCTTCTTTTTCTTGATAATATGAAAAGTTAGTGCTAGGTATCCACATAGATTTAAATTCATTTGTGGGGATTCATATAGCTGACCTAACTCGCTTTGAATTGAGGCATTGTTGATGTACATAGATGACTTTAATGTCTGAGTTTGTGCCTGTGAATCTTCAGGGGATTCGGCTGAAATTTTATGTTCCTTATGTATGTATGACTCTAAGATGGTGTTTTCTCACTTTCTTCATTATGCATTCTTAACTGAATAGCATTTTGAAATTATATCTTGTAAACTTCAGAATTTCATTTGTGTATGTCCATGTTTGCTTAGAGTCGTGAATAAGAGAAGAGAGGAAAGTTCCATTAGGTTAGTATATTAAAGCCAAGGGGGATCTACGTTCAACAAAGGGGATTCACTGGACCCACTTATCGAAAAATTTCACTATATGTATTTCTAACTTAATTGTTGTTAGAAAAGGTTATCTATAATACATGTTGACCCACTTGACAAATACAATGGCTTTAGAGTAGTGGTCAAGCGGGTTCCTTAAGATTGGAAAGTCGCGTGTTTCGTAATTTTTTTTTGCACCGGTCACTTGTTTTATTTTTTATATGGAAGGCTTCAAAACACGTTTGTTTGTTTTAAAGAACCATTAGGGTTGCTCCTCATTCTCCTTGCTGCATGTCTACTCTCCCCCTCTCCTTTTCTGCGTCCCTTCCCTCACTTGCTCCTTGGCTCCTCCTTCAATCCTGGCCAGCCCAGGTGCCAGCATGCTTCATCCGGTCGCCGGTCACGATCAAGGTAAGTGACACAATCTATCTATTGAGGAAAAGCCCTTTATTATCCATGCCAATAACTGTCAATGGCCACCCAGAAGGAGATATTTCATTGGGGGTTTCATCATCTTACCTGAAAGGAGCTGAAACTGCTCGTATTTGCACGCGACATTTGTTGGTAATGGGAAAATTTTCTGTGGCTAATGTATACAAATCCTGGAGGCTAAGGGATGATTGCTGAGGCCTCAGAAAATCTGATAAAATTGAATTTTTCTAGCTACTCTGCTGGATGTCCACTTTCTTCTCATCAATGGTAATTAGGAGTTTAATCTGTGTATAAATGAACAACGTAACAAATGTCGTAAGAGTTAGAAATGAGAAAAGATATTTGGTATGAGCCAGTCGGCTGTGAAAACCCAAAATTTTAAGCACAATAAGATTAAAGAGAACAAGAGGTCTTTCTTGGACTAATTGTTTCATCAATATGTTGGTCTATGTTCAATTAGAATACACATAACCTGAATCTATATATCTTTTCATGTTGAAAAGGGATTTGAAGTGCTATCAAGGATTTCAATCAATTCATAGCTTGCTCTTAAACACGTAGAAAAGATATCAAAACATGTGTAGAATAACACATCCAATCTAAATTTCCCTGATTGTGTGCACTAGTAATTGTTACTTTGTTATGATGTAGTTCTTAATTATTACTATTTGTTATTTATATGCTTAGCTTCCATATGCTCGATTGTTTGTAATATACTACAATTCCGTGTTGTATTTATTGATACATGGTTATATATTTACATTGTTTATATGATTACTCTTTCGAGATTCTGTATTGCTTGTTTGTGAGCAATTGTACAATCTTTAAAGTTTGCTTATGTATTATGTAAAATAAATAAGTGTTTACTAATTGCAAAACTGAAAAATAAAAACTAATAATTAGAAACTTTGAAGTAATAGATGAAGATTTTAATTGCGTAAAGATTGAGATTTACTAATTAAATAGTTAAATTTGTTAATTGATTTTTCTGCTTAGGGTTTTAGCAAGTACTTAATCATGCCATGATTTGTGAATTAACAATAATATGAAGATAATCTCATAGAGAAAAGACTGAAAGTAGGTTTTGTTTATATTTTGAAGATTAGTGCAGTAACAACTGTACCAGAAAGATGACGTTTGTACCTTGAAGAACTTCATTTAAAGTGAAGTATGTTGTTTTCACTTCTTCTTATTAAAAATAAAAGACATAATAACATCAGTCGGTACAACGTTGCACTTGAAGCAGGGGATGTGCTGTTCCTTTTGGGCTTGACTCTTCCCATAAGGCCCCACGGTCGGGGCATAAACGCTTCTTGCTACCCATATAATCATGTTTTCATAACACTGTCCATATTTTTTTAATTCTCTATACTGTTTGAACCTTGTCTAAAATTCTTGGTAAGCTGCTTGGAGATGTGATGTCATTAGAAGATTTTCACACGAACACCAAACAATATAGTGTTATTCTGTGTTAGTTTATTGTTAGTTTGATCACGTTGATTCCTTTTTTTGATATTTTTATTGTACTAAATCACTTACTAAGTTTAGCTAAGTTAGGACCAGTTACAATCTCATTTCATAACTTTGGCATCAAAGGAGTTTAGAGCTTCTTGCTCCAATAGAGTTGGTAGTTTAGGCTACAATATGTACAATTTTTCCAAATTATGACTGTAAGATTCCTGTTCAACCTTAAGTTTCACAGATCTCAAAGTTTGAGAGTCGACATGAGTTTATAATGTATCGACCAGTGACCGGGGAATAAGCAATTGCCTCATTTAAAGTAGCTGCTAGTGGTTATGGGGTGTAAAGATGAAGAATCTTGTGTTTCGTAAGCCAATTGTACGCCCATAACCTGAACAAGTTGGTATTACTATTTCTTCAATAACAGTCAACTACATCAGAGCCTTCATTAGGATATATTCATGGATATTTTGCTTGATCTAAAGTTTGCTTCTAACTGGCATGCTCATTGCTGAATTTGCCATTTGTCTCAAGTCTGATCAGGCCAAAATATTTTGTTTCAACTTCCTTTTATTGATCCCTGCAATGTGTTTGATGTGCCTTCTTTCTGTGATTTGGATACTGCTATTGCAGTTATCGGAGCTTGTCAATGTGGAAAGTTATGCGGACTGGATACGTCTGGTTGCCGAATTTACTTTGAGATCTTTGCAGTCTTGGCAGGTCATCCCCTTGATTACTGGGTTCAAGAATAGCTTTTGATCACTAATCTTAACTCTGTTTGTCTGAAATTTCTGATTGTGGTTTTTCCCATGATCAGTGGGCTAGCAGTAGTGTTTACTACCTTCTTGGACTGTGGTCTAGATTGGTTTCATCGGTGCCGTATTTGAAGGGAGACACACCAAGCCTGCTTAGTGAATTTGTACCAGAGATTGTGAAAAGTTTTATCACATCAAGATTTGGTTCCTTTCAGGTTGCACTGTATTGTTTTTGCAAGTGAGGTTGCATCAAGAGTTTCATTTTAAGTTGTGGTTTTGATTTACTTTCTATTATTTTGTGTTGCAGGGCGAAATCTCTGATCTCTCAGAGAACCCCCTTGACAATGTTGACCTTCTTCAAGATCAGCTTGATTGTCTTCCTTATCTTTGCAGATTTCAGGTTTAGACTCTAAAATATTTACACTTTTGAGATTATCAAAATGTTCTGAAAGTTGCTTGACTTTCTAATTCATTTAAGTTCAATGTTTGTTTTTACTGTTGGTTTTTGACTTACTGAAATTGCTGAATTTGGATTAATTTGAATCAATTTGACACAGTATGAGAGTTGTAGCTCATACATTATTCAGATTACTGATCCTCTACTGCAGATGTATATGGTATGCTTAGATTTTTTGTTTTACAATTTCTAAGGGTTGAAGGTCTAATGAAGCTTATGTGTTTGCAGTGATACAATTATTTTTGTTTGAAACAGGAATCCGCTGATCCCCAGGTTCTTACAGTGGTGGAAACAAAATTTGCTTGGATAGTTCACATAATTGCAGCTATTGTTAAGACTAAGCAACTTAGTGGATACAGGTATTGCCAAGCTTATTTACTTATTTTAGCTGTGTCGTTTTAGGTTCGCATTCTCCTAATTTTCTCTCATGTTTGTTTCCACTTTCAGTGGGGAATCTCAAGAAATCCTTGATGCAGAACTTTCAGCACGCGTACTGCGGCTGATAAATGTTACTGATAGTGGTTTACGCAGTCAGGTTCACTCAAATTTCCTCCCTATACTTTGGCACTCTTATAGCTCTGAAATGTAGGAAAGTTATTGTAACATTCCCTGAACTAAAATTAAGGTGAAACTCTATTGTGTCAATAGCACATCCTCGTTTACACATTCAAGCATTTTATTCTTTTTCTTTTCTTGGGAACTTGATCAAACTTGTATTTATTGGGTTTGTTCTGACATCATCGTTTATGTCATTTATCCTTGATATAATGCAGAGATATGTAGAAACGAGCAAACAGCGCCTTGATCTAGCTATTCTTGTGTTCTTCCAGAACTTTAGAAAGTCGTATGTTGGAGATCAGGCAATACATTCATCTAAGGTACACAATTGAAATTTGTTTGCTGTGGTACCCAAGTGCCAAAAACTTTCTATTGTCATTTCTCTTGCTGGGTATTTAATCCATTTATTCCTCTACAGCAACTATATGCTAAATTGGCTGAGCTTCTTGGGCTCCATGATCATATGCTAATATTGAATGTCATTGTTGGGAAGATAGCAACCAATCTTAAGTTTTATGGAGAGGTAATTGTCATAATTGATTATTTGTGATTTTGCCATGATCATGAATCATTATATCTCTTCTTTTTCATTAGAGCGAGGAAGTTATCAGTCAAACACTGAATCTCATGTTGGAAATGGCATCTGGGCAAGTATCATCTTACTTTTCTTCTCAAGTTTTTCTCTATTATTAGAGTTGAGGCATCTCCTTGTTCTATTCTAATTACTTTAATCTTCTTGGGTTGGCAGATATATGACTGCAAAGCTTCTTGTAAAGTTGGATACTACTCAATTAATAATATCCAATCGTAATGTAAGTATCATTTATAGCTGTGGTACATTGCTCTCTTTTCTGCTGATTCCTAAACATTTGTAGCTTTGGTTGGACTAATACTTTAAATTTTTCATATTTAGAGGGAAGAATTCCCGTTTTTGGGGGACTACAGGTGCTCTCGTAGTAGAACTACCTTTTACTATATTATTGGCTTGTTGATCTTTATGGAAGATAGCTTTTTGAAATTTAAAGCATCAATGGACCCACTTCTGCAGGTGTGTGTTTGGAGCAATAATTATGTAACTTTCTAATTTGTCTTACCACGATGAATAGTATGCGAAAGAGTTTTACCTCAGCTTTGTTTTTGTTTAATTGCACCAGAAGTTGCTCAACTCTTTTTTCCATGAATAAACTGCTCCTAGTCATTCGCCTTATTGTAAAAGTTCAGAAGCTGTAATTATGTTTCTGTTCCTCACACTGATGAGTTGAGCGGTAATGATGCAATAAAAGGTCTTGCTGAGTTTGGAACTGATTCTGGATGCCTTGTTTCGCACTGATGATGTTAAGCAAGCATTAATTGGGTTGATGAGGGATCTCAGAGGAATTGCAATGGCTACAAGTAGGTTAGTAGCATGGTCAATATGAATTTTCCTGTTGAGGCATAAGACTTGGTTTTTTCAAACGCTCTCACTTCATCTTTGTCCTCCTATTCCTACTGTTCAACAGCCGAAGAACATATGGTTTCCTATTTGATTGGTTATATCCAGCACATATTCCCCTTCTTGTTAAGGCCATAACAATATGGGCAGACACTCCAGAGGTGAGATTTAATCTTTAAAGAGCATTAGAGATTCTACTGTTAAATCTTTACTACTGTTCTGTTTTCCCTTTCCATACATTCTTCCATAGAATTCGTACCCAATGGAAGCACATCCAAATATATGCTGTGCGTATATCTCTCTCTTGACATTTACTTGCCAATACAAGAATGAGCTACTCTGTTTGCAGTGTCGGTCCTGGATAAAGAACATTTGTGTATATGGGTTAACATGCTGGTGAGATGAAGCGTACCAGATTGTTGAAACTTTTTTCCCTTGCAGGAGATCTAACAAATATTGAAAACAAAAAAAGTAACTTTTTGTGATATCAACTTGTAGGGGGCAATTTTCCCTTAAAATTTAAGATATTTTTCTATTGCTATTTCATTCACTCTGATCTTAGCACATTATAATTAAAAAAAAACAGAGAAGTTGATCCCTAGAAAGTGCTTGTGCTTTGGTGCACACTGGAGACTTTTGTCTTCTTCTCCTTTAAAGCTAATATAATTGTGTCTTCATTTTTATTAATGTATTAGGTGACAACACCGCTGCTTAAATTCATAGCCGAGTTTGTGCTGAACAAGTCCCAACGACTGAATTTTGAAACCTCATCTCCCAATGGCATTCTTCTTTTTCGAGAAGTCAGCAAATTAATTGTTGCATATGGATCCAGAATTCTCTCTCTGCCTAGTCACGTGGATATGTATCAGTTCAAATACAAGGGTATTTGGATTTCTTTGACTATTCTTTCGAGAGGTAGGAATTTTTAGCTTCTAAAATATTTTGGTTATATTCATTCTCAAAAAATATATTTTGGTTATATTCTAGATTTCCCTGTGTATGGCCCTTCAAATGGAAGGCTTCCTGTATGTTGTTTGCTCTTAAGACTAACCTTCTCCTGACTGTTAAGTTTTATGCCTAGGAGAAGAGTTTCGGAGCCCACTACTTGTGTTTTACGTTGCCTTGTTTTCCCCCCTCTTTTGTCTTCTACCTGTGATAAACTTCAGTAGAGTAGCTTATTATTTTTGTTTTGACTAAGTTTTATTTCTCTGAATAAGAATTAGTATATTTTATAAAGTTGATTTTTCTATTAACTTGGAATTTTAGGATTTTTTTTTTTGAGAAGGTAACATATTGTATATTAATAAAGACTACACATCCCATAATTACATAGGAGAGGAAGAAAGACTCCTAATCCTTGTTCTTCTCACAAGGAATCTAAAACATCAAAAATAGACTCATGGTCTTCTAAAAGTTTTCTTTTACACCAAAAGTGGAACAACAATAGACACTTCGTTTTCATCTTCTGGACATGATTGTACTTGTCTTCAAAACATCTCTGGTTTCTCTCTTCCCAAATTATCTACCAGATGCAAGCAGGGACTCCTCCATCTCTCCTTCTGATTAGACAAATTACCATCTCTATTCCAGCATGTAAGAACTTCAGGAATTATTCTTGGCATAGTCCACAAAATACCCCTTAAGTTGATAAATCTCCACAGTTGAGCAGTCAACCTGCAGTGTAAAAAGAGATGACTAAATGACTAATTGACTCTGCCTCCTCTCCACATAAGTAGCATTTAGAGCATAATTGATATCCTCTCTTGACTAGATTGTCCTGTGTCAACACCGCCTCCTTTGCCAACAACCAAGAAAAGCAAGCAATTTTATATGGAATTTTAACTTTCCAAATCAGTTTCCGTGGCCAACAACTGACTTGATTCATGGAAAGGTTGAATTCCTTATAAGCTGATTTAACAGAAAACTTCCCAATTTTATTTCCTTGCCAATTCATACTGTCTTCAGAGTTTGAAATTCCTTTGAACTTTTCTATAATATTGTAAAACTCAGTCTTCTGTAAGTAAGCCTCTCCTGTTGTTGCTTTTTGTTGCTGATTGAGGATGTAGATGTCAGGAAACATTTGTCTCAAAGATCCTTGCCCTAACCAATTATCCTTCCAAAAGGATATCTTCATGCCATTTCCTACACTGAATTTGGTTTTGTTCATGAATTTAGGCCATAGATTCCTGATGGATTTCCATAGACTAACCCCATAAGGCCCATTCACTGATTTTGTTGTCCATTTACCATCCATACCATACTTCTCCCTAATCACCTCTTTCCATAAGGATTGTTCTTCTTCAGCAAATCTCCATAACCACTTCATCATCAAGCTTTGAGTCTGAGTTCTCAAGTTCTTTATTCCCAACCCCCCTTCCTTCTTGTTGATTGTATGAGAGTTCTCTTTGACTAAATGTATTTTCTTCTTATCACAGCTCCCTTCCCACAAGAAGTTCCTTCTTAATGCATCTATTCTCTTCACTACGTTCACAGGAATAGGAAACAGGGACATCATGTTAGCAGGCGTAGCATCCAATACAGAGTTAATTAGAGTTAATCTACCCCCTTTGATAGGTGCTGACTCTTCCAGTTAGTCAACTTCTTTTCACATTTCTCTATAACACCATTCCATATCCCTTTTGATTTGCTCTTTGCCCCCAATGGCATTCCCAGATAAACGGTAGGAAGCTCCCCTATTTTACCTCCAAGAATTCTAGACAAGCATTGGATCTCATTTACAATATTTATTGGATACGTAAAACTTTTGTTCCAGTTAATATGTAATCCAGATGTAGCTTCAAACAAGATAAAAATTGCCCTTAACACTTTCAGTTGCTCACTGTCAGCCTCACAAAATACAATAGTGTCATCAGCATACTGTAGATGGGATATCTCCGTATTGCTGTCTGCCCTAGAATTTACCTTAAAACCCCTTATCCAATTGTTTAATTGGGCAGTTTTTAACATATCATTCAATCCTTCCATAGCGATTATGAAGAGAAAAGGAGATAAAGGGTCTCCCTGCCTCAAACCCCTCTGAGAAGGAAAAACCAGCTGATGAACCATTGACCAGAATTGAGAACTTCACTGTACTGATGCAAAATTTTATCCAGTTAATCCATCTACCCCCAATATCCATTTTAATCAGAGTTTCCAACAGAAAGTTCCAATTTAAGTGATCATATGCCTTCTCTATGTCCAGTGTGCATAATATTCCAGGCTCTTTGCTTTTCAATCTTGCATCTACCCATTCATTGGCGATTAAAAGTGCATCCATTATCTGTCTGCCCCAAATGAAAGTCATCTGTTGAGCATCCACCTGCTTGTTTACTACTTTTTTGAGTCTTTCAATAATATATTTTCTCCCGTGCTTTCTCACAGGACTGAAATCTTTCAACTCTTTGGCCCCCACCTTCTTAGGAATTAATGCCACAAAGGTAGCATTAAAACTCTTTCCAAACACACCCTGTTCATGTAATTTCTGGATTGCAGTTACTACTTCCTTGTTCACTACCTCCCATCATTGAATGAAGAAAGCCATAGAATATTCACCAGGACTTGGTGCTTTGTCCCCTACACATGCCTTTACACTTTCCCAGATCTCCTGAGTTTCAAAAGGACTTTGCAACATTAAGTTCTCCTCTGGAGAAATTATAGGACAATTTTTGAGATTGCCCTGTGGCTTCCATATTTCTGGTTCAGAATATAGCTTTTGGTAGAATGTGACATTCTCCTTTTTTATGTCTGCCGGACACTCCATAGTTTCCCCTTCTACATTCAATTTGTCAATATTACTGTATCTCCTATGAGCATTTGCAGTTTTGTGGAAATATGTAGTGTTTTTATTCACTTGTTTCAACCAAAGAGCCCTAGCTCTTTGCCTCCAAGCCACCTCCTCATTTCTAGCAATCTCTTCAAATTCCGGAGCTAAAGCAGACTTAACATGTATTTCTTCCTCAGTCAGACATCTCTGATCATGTATTTCCTCCCGTTCAGCTAGTTGGTTTAGGATATTAAGTTTTTGCATTAAGTTTAAGGCCAGGATAAAATCAGGTCTTCCGTCACAATTAAAAGAGTTCCACCAGTGTTTAATCCTTGTTTGGAAGCCCTCAGTTTGAAGCCACCAATTCTCAAACTTGAAATAGAATTTGACTGGATCCCAATTGCCACATTGAAGCATCACATGGGAATGATCAGATGTCACTCTATGATGGATTGATTGCTTAATATTTCTGAAGCTCTCATTGCAATCCATAGAGATTAAGAACCTATCCAACCTAGCTGCTATCACATTCTCCAAGTGTAGTTACCTCTTGCCAGTTGTAAATCCACCAACTCCACGTCTTCAATAAACTCTGAAAATTCATTCATTGCTCTAGAGATTCTATTGCAATTCTTCTTCTCTGATGGAAACCTCACTTTATTGAAGTCCCCGCATACCAGCCATGACCACTCAAAGAGCCCCCTAGCTCCTGCTAATTCCCACCGGACTTTCTCCCTTTCCTTCCTATCATTTGGTGCATATACACTGGATAAATTCCAGGTAAATTCCTGACTTTTCCCAGAAAATTTACAGGTTATAGTATATGATCCCAAGCTACTAATCTCCCCTTCCAACATTCTACCATCCCACAAAACTAATAACCCCCCTCTAAACCCACTAGCTTCCAATTGTGCATATTTCCCCCATCTATTATTTCCACAGTTCTTTTACTATCTCTCCAATGTCTCCTTCGATTTTTGATTCTTGAAAACAATATACATCTGCTTTCCACTTGTGAATTAAACTCTTGATCAACATTCTTTTTCTATGTCGATTCAACCCCCTAACATTCCATAAGAGAATGTTTACCTTCATTGATCCTGGATAACCATACGCCCCCCTTACTTCTAGTACTATTGCTTCTGAAGTTGCTTCCTATTTTCAGCCCTTTTAGTTCTTTAATTCCTTTTCGTCGTGGAGTTTCTGACACTTGCATATCTGGAAACCCTTTGTTCTCTTGTCTCTTGTTGTCAATTTTCATGAAAAGCGCCAATGCTTCTTTCTCGCATCCCTGAAAATTTATCACAAACACCTTGCCGAGTCTGATTATGTTCTGGTGCACCCAAATTGAAGCCTCAAATTCTGGGTCCTTCTCTTCCTCTAAACTCTGTAAATTTAGAGGAGTAGCTTTTTCAATTATCCACCCCATCTTATTTTTCTTAACAGTCAAGTGAACAGCTGTTTTAGCAAGTTCTGTTAACCCTTTGTTTTCTTTCTCCTTTGTTTCCCCTTTTCTCTTTGTCCCTCTGTTCCCTTGTGCAAAATATATGTGGCTCTTTGCCTAGCAGATTGTATGTATTTTCCCCATCTGTGTATTTAGCTGATCAACACTACAGTAACCCTGAAAATGTAATGTTAACAAATGGGAATGTAAAAAACTGAATTGATCGTCCTTTCATCATTATGTAATTGCTTATGCTTTACTCTGCACTGTAGCACTTGCTGGTAACTATGTCAACTTTGGGGTGTTTGAGATTTATGGGGACAGAGCGCTAGCAGATGCTTTTGACATTTCTATGAGGATGGCTCTATCTATTCCTTTGGCTGATATACTCGCATATAGAAAGGTATTATATTAAGAGCTGATTTATTCAAAAATATCGCTGGTTATTTTATTCTTAGATGCTTATCACATGAGAATTGCCTCCTCTTACTATATGATGTTAACAAGATAGTATGTTCAGACTGATTTTGTTTCTGGAGATAAAACCTTCTGCTGCTTTATGCTCTGAGCAAAGATATTTTATGTGATTTTGGAACATATAAACTTCCCAACAAACATCAAAATTTGTTGCCAGCACTCTACTTATTTTGGAGTGTACTCCCAACAAAGAATGGGAGCATCACAATTCACATATGCACCAAGTTTGAGCCCATAGTTTCTATGTGCTTGTTGCAGATGTAAAGTATGGTTTATTGTGAGTTGTCTACATTCGCTCAGCTAAGAAAACATACTTATAAGTGACACAATTACAACACGGGAAAATATAGAGACTACTGAGACATTTGAGAGGTCAACATCCTGGTGGAAAGAAATAGTCCTGTTACCTATTGGGCATTATGTTGGAACTGACATTTAGGCAATTTGGTTCTGACTATGATGCTAGCATATGAAAACTGCAGAAGTATCTTGATTAAAATTATTTTACCAGGATATACATCTTTAAATATGGATTTGGTAGCAGCCACTTGTAGTTCTGTATGTGTTTGGAGTGCCATTTGTATGCCTTTAGTGTTTGCTTGAAGTAGATTTAAGCCGTCTTTGAGTCTTGTGTATGTGGGGAGCAGATGCAGAGAAGAAGTTGATCATTTTGGTTTTCTTTTTCAGTTCCTTTTTCATTTTTTTCTGTGTCTTTGTCTATAGCTTACATTTTCTTTTGATTGGTATAATCGAGTCAAATATTTTAAACTACTGACCACTTATTTTTAAAGTGGACCTTCTCATTGTTATTCTGGCAAAAATTTATCTGTTCAATCAGCGCTGTTGCTGCTTCTTAAAAATTAGAGCCTCAACATTCTTCGAATGAGCAGTGGTGTCAAATTGAGCTAATTTCTTTAAGCTGTTTATCTTTAAAAGTGGTTTGATCCCTGGTTGTGTCCTCAGCAGTGGACATACCTCTTACACGAATTTTGTGGGGTATATATTCTTTTTCCCTCTGTAAATTATCACATTGTCTGCATTTCATTTTAACAATATAACCACTTCCAGTTGTCTTATCCTACAGCTTTCAGGAGCTTACTTCACATTCCTGGAAATCATGATGAAAAACCAGATCCATTTGATACTAAACTTGGACTCAAGTAGCTTTATATTTATTGCTGGATCTCTTGAGTCTGGACTTAAAGTACTGGATGCAAATATCAAATCACAGGTTTGTGCTGTGTTCGACCATTGTCCTTGGGATGTTGGATGCCATTTCTTTGTATTTGTTTGATCTTTGCAAGTGTTGAGACATAATATAAGTAAGTATTAAAAGTGTGCTCTTCTCTAACATCTTAAACTTTTATACGAGGTGGTCACACACTTCAACATGGTGGCTGAGCAGGCAAAGGTCGTGAGTTCAAATCTCACCACCACTCAAAAAGCAAAAAATATTTCACGTGTTTGACCCAATCAGGTCCACAAGTGAGACCTAATATAATTATACTATAATATAAGTGTGAAGGCTTTAGTGTGAAGTTGAAAGACTAAAATATCCTTATAAAATTAAGTGACATTAATACCCTTAAAAAATAAATAAGTTCTTCTTTCATCAACTTTAAACCAAAACTTTATTATACTAATGTGCAGAAACGTTAGGGAAAACATTCCATAATAAATACTCATATTAGTAAAGTTGCACCTCTTCCATGTACTTCTTGCTATTTTCATATTTATCTAATTTTTTAATTATTTCTTTCATTTATACGTTAATAACCCACAAAATCACTTCGTAAATTCTATTATGTTTATATTCTTTTCTCACATTGAGCAGTAATTTTTTTTATACTACCAATGAATTAATAACACTTGAACAACTATACTTAAAGTTCAAATAACCTAAGCTCTAGAAAAAATGAAAAGGCAAAGGTAGTGTCAATATATCATCTATATATGTAAGTTAATGAGAGCACAATTACAAAAGGTAGAGATTCAAATTGAGTGCAAAAGGAGATGACCACACGTCAAGGATAGATATGTAAAGTTCTTGGATGAGGGGAAAAAGAAGGCAGACCTATACAGAAATACTTTCTAAGTTGTGATTTTAAATGAGATCGATATATGCTTAACAACCAACGAGCTCCATCTCATATGTCCCCCTCTATGTGCATTTGTGCTACTCTGATTAGTTCGGTGTTTCTCTATGCCAGCGAGCTCCATATCAGATATGCATCTGTTTTTCTCTTTGTTTATTCTTAATATTAACATAGATTTTAATAGTTTTCAAATATACGTATTATATTTCTTCCTTTCTAAATCACCATAATTCATGTGTTGAAGGAATGAAGTCAATCTACATATAGGTGGTGTTATAGTTTCCTTTATATTATTATATCAAATTGAGCTCCAATCCAAAGTGTTGAAAGAACAATGAGGAACGAACTTACAGTAATAGAGAAGGCATATGATAATTAGGCTCTATTAATTGTCTATAAGAAAAAGGAAGCAGGATATGTTCATATTACATATTTATGTAAACCTACTTATTTTGTATTTAATAATTAAGTCGGTCGAATATGCTCACTATTTATTAACATATATTATATAAAATTGATAGGAATAAGTGGCCAAAAACTAGTTAAATAATTAAAAGTGTGCTCTATCTGACAGCTTAAGCTTTTGTATAAGGTGGTCACGCTTCAATAACAGCCTTGCTGGGATGAATCATATAATTCGTTCTCAACAAACTGACTCCAATTTATTTATTTTTAGTGTGCATCTGCTGTGGACAACTTGGCTACTTTTTATTTCGATCACATAACAGCTGGAGAGTCACCAACTACCCCCGTGGCTCTTAACCTGGCTCAGCATTTAGCAGATTGTCCGAACATATTTCTTGAAGTAAGTTCAACTGCTCTTTTTATTTAAAGGATTAATGATTTCAAGACCTTTTTTAGAAACTGCATATTCGTTTTAGCCGTGGCAGTCCAGTCATCAGGGAACTCTGTTCTTTTTGACCCCTCCCTCCAGTTCGTTTTGTCCCTTTTATTTCATGAGGTTTCATCTTTTATTTTTTTTGTTATTGTTCTTATATACATATTTTTGTTCGGGTGGTGGTGCGGGAATGTGGAGTTTGGGCTGGAAAATGCAGTAGATTTCGGAAGATGGTATAGCATGCTCATTACTACTCTGTTCAAAAGTCTCACATGCCACAATTATGTTCAACAATAGGTAGTGAATGTTGGGCCCTCTGTCGGTCTAATTCTACGAGTATAGATAAAGTTTCTATTGTATATCATAGTACCGCCATAGTAGTTTATCTTCTAAAATTTCAATTTGTTTGTAAATTATATTATAGTAGTGTCTGTGAAGGGAAGAAAAAAGATCCACAATATCATTCCACAATTGGGAGAGAACTTGGGATGGCTGGACTCTGCTAATACAATGATTAAATTTGTTGAGAAAGGGTCGTGGAAGGAAGAGATGTCTAAAGAGTGACCACCTGGAGTGGATTTGTCCTTATGTGGTACAGATAAAGATTTGGCAAAGGGAAGATATTAGAATCTTAAAAAACGATAGAACGGAGCAATATATTCTTGATTGACAACAATTCCCTCAGGTATAGGGAGTATTTGTATACATGCTTAATTGGGTGCTTTGGTGATTCCAGAAAATTGCCCTAGTCATTGGGAATTTCAAAAATGGGCTGCAAGAATTGAAATATTCCGGCTAGATGAGTTAAAGAATTAAATGGTGGTCACTGATCAACGTTTGTCATCGACAAAATTAGCGCCCCGACCAAGTTTGGATAAGATGTTCAAGTTTTCTGCGGTCGAAAGACATCTTCAAGAAAAATTGGAGACAGATTCTATTTTCTAGAAATGGATGATAATAAGAGATACAAAATATACTTGAGATGGGCTAGAATCTGCATGTGTTTTGCGGAGATAAAAGTCCCGACGACGATTAAAATCATGGTGGATAACTTCACGTTTAGTGTTCGGATATGGGTGGAATCCAATGCTTGGGTGGAGAAAGTTGACCAGGATGTAAAATACGGCTATCACAGAAATGGAAGAGATGAGGTGTAGAACCTTGGTGGTTTGAATGCAGTGTCGCAGTTTCCCAATAAGAATCCATTGTGGAATTCTAACATGCGTACGGGATGCATGTCAATTGCGCAACCAGATTTAAAATTTAAAAATGAAAAGGGCCATCTTGTGAAGGCTTTGCTTTTCTAATTTTTAAGTCTGGTGCGCCTGGGTCTTATAAAAGTAGACAAGTAATAAAGGGAAAATTTCACATAAGAACAACTAGGCTCCCTACTTTTCAATTTTATAGCCCATATTTCAATTTACAACCAATTAGCCCAAAAATAATAGGCTAAGATTCAACATTCAACTCCAATAGGTTCTCGAAATTACTATTTAATTTTTAAAAAAGATTGCTCAAGCTTTTAAGTTAATTTTTGAATCAGTAACTGTGACTAAAATATTAGTTCAACAAACCAAATCCATTTGGGTGGTGAAAATTAAATTTTTAACAAGCTTAAATATGTGGGTTTAAATTCTGAATTTGATTTTGTGAGAAATTTGGAGTGGGTGTTATTTAGACTTGTTAGAAATACTATAAGGAGGTTGTATATAAAATTTGAAGTCATTTAATGGAGATTTGGACTGGTTTTGAACAAGAATTGCAACTGAAAATCGTGGAAGAAGTTCGTCTACAGACGCTTGTATAAAGGTGTATAAAAGTGTATAAGATGTATTTATACACTCGTATACACTATTATACAAGATTATACATAATTATACAAAAAACTAACTTCGTCTTCTTCATTGCGTCTTTTCTGAAATTTAACTCAAATCTTGCTCAAATCTACTCCAAATCACTTCAAATTTAGATTTTGAACTCCTTTTGATATTTTCAATCAATTGGAACAACACCCAATCCAAACAACTAATAAACTCAAAAAATCCTATTTTCGAAAGCAAAGCTTTGAATGACCTTCAATGGTGGACTTCTACTCTTCAATTTTCTTACATTGCAACCAGGTGATACACGGGGAGAAGCAGTAATGGCGGACGGCCCCTTGAAGCAAATGTAGAAGATGTGAGAAGAAGAGAGAGTGAAAGCAATAGTTGTAAGAACATAGATTTTGAATTTATTAGTGCTTTCAAAATATGTACAATATGGGATAGGTCAGGTAAAACTTAAAAACGTGGGCCATTTTTTGTTATGGTGTGAAGTCAAATGTATTTTGTTGTAATTCTTTCAATAATAAAAGTAGCCCATCTTATTCATTGGTGAAAATAAGGAGCAACCCAACCGTTTCGAACATTCATACATCTAATGGACGGGGATCCAATTTTCCTCTTCTAATTTTGAGTCTGGTGCGCCTGGGTCTTCTAGTAAGTAGATAGGCCCATCCAATTCATTGGTGAAAATGAGGAGCAGCCCAGCTGTTTCAAACATTCATATATCTAATGGATGGGGAGCCAATTTTAAAAATATCTGCAAGTCCAAAGCTAAAGACCCATGTTTAAAGACCCAGACCCTTATCTCATGTATCTTATAGTGTCGGAAAGTTGAGAGCTCCATGCAGATGTTGGAATCGATGGGAAATAAAGATACTACAGTCTCTGTGCTTGCTTCTTTGGATATGTTTGTTCAAGACCTTCCCCATAGGTCCGAAGAAAGCTTTTCTCTGGAATATTTCGAGGATGAAAGGTTGAGATGGAGTCGTTACCTGAAGATAACAATATGACATGGGAAAATTTTCAGCAGAATTTCATTCAAAGGTTTTTGAAGAATTCACACGAACACATGCTCTGTTGATTCTCCTTTGATATATTTATGCGCAATTTCAGTAAAAGATTAAACCGAGAAGGGCGTCAAGATGGGTAAGAAGGAATATACTGAAAATGTGTAAACTACTTGGGGTTCATATGATGGAACTCGAAAATGAGCTCCTTGATATGTTACTACAGATTGGAAAGATCAGGACCTATAAATTGGTGTCAAACTCTAAAAATCCTTCTCCTATATTTAAAGGGATTTGAAATTGCTCGTTTAATGTCAATTATGGTGATGCTAGTGGATATATGGGCAGTGGGCAGCAGGAGGAAGTTATCGAATGAAAAAAAGTGAATTTGAAGTTAAGCTTTTGGAACCCCTAAAAGATAAAGATGAATAAAGATTGATCAGGCTGATGGTTAGAGATTGGAAAGCAGATATCATCTGTTTTGTGGAAACAAAAATGAAGAATGCAGATTTTTCTCTTATCAAAAAGATAGGGGGCAGTACATGAGCAGAAGGGCTGATTGTGGAAGCCTAGGGAAGTAGTGGAGGTATTCTACTGTTGCTGGACAAGACAATATGGATATGTAACGATTGATGGGTCTGCGCGGCTACTGTTTTGTTGTAGGAGTTGAACTCCGGATGTCTATTGTCCTTGTGATGGGGGAGAAAGGAGGTTTGGCATGAAATGGTTGATAATTAGGGGTTCGAAGCATCATCATGTGTTGTCGGATGGGATTTCAATGTCACAAGATTTAGCGACGAAAGATGTGACGGAGTTTTCAATCCTAGATCTATAAGAGATTTCACAAAAGTAGTTGATGAGTTACCTATGATGGATTATCCCTTCCAATGTGGACAATTCAACTGATTAAGGGGTAATGATATTTCTTGTGCATCAAGGATCGATAGGTTCCTTGTATCTACTAAACAGGGTGACTTCTTTTAAGACTATAAAACCGAGGGGCCTTCCTAGAGTTTGTGCAAATCACTAATCTATTCTCTTGGAATGGGGGGATTGGAATACAGAAAGGTCATTTTAAATTGGCTGGAAATGAATTCATTGATTTAGTGGATAGATGGTGAAAATCATATGAGGTACAGGGAATGTTGCCCTAGCCAAAAAGTTGAAGTTGTTGAACCTGGATATCAAAAAATGGACAAGGAACTAAGGAAGTCTTTGGTATGCTGCAAGAAATATAGAAAGTTGTTTTGGAAAAACTTGCTATGATGGATTAGTCAAATTTGGTAGGAGGAGCTGAGTATGAGGTGGAATCCATGCAGTCTAACCTTTCAAAAGAGCTGAAGAGATTGCCAAAGCTGAAGAAACATAGTGGAGGCCGAATAAAGCTGTTTATGGATCAAGCAAGGTGATAAAAGTAAAAAGCATAAAGAAAGCAACAAAGTCCATGGTGTTGGCGAAAAGCAAGAAGTGAAAGCTTCATGCTTCTTTGAAGTGAAGCGCACAATTATTGAAAAATTTCAAAAGATAAACATATATCTATCTATGTAAGGTTTCAATAGAAATGTCATGACCCAAAATCCCATCGGAGCCGTGACAGTGCTTAACACTGCTTGCTAGGCAAGCCAACAATCGATTAGCAGAAACAAACTTAAATAACATTATTAAATAATCTCAACATCGGAATAACATAAATAACTGAAATCAATAATAACAATGCAACTGAAAACCATCCCACGATCTGGTATCATCGAGTACATGAACGCTACAGAATTCAAATACAGAGTCTGAACACAAAATACAATATTGTCTAAAGATGGTATAATATAACATGAACTAAGAGAAAAGGGACTTCAAGGCCTGCGAATGGAAATAACAGCTACCTCGAAACCTACAAAACTAGTGCCGAAGCCACTCTTTAGCAATCACCTCTCTCAGCAGCACTTGGATCTGCACATGAAGTACATAGTGTTTTATGAGTACAACCGACCCCATGTACTCAATAAAGAACAAACCTAACCTCGGGCTGAAAGCAGTGACGAGCTTGGCAAGGTCCAATATTCATTTCAAATAGCCAACAACAACAATAATAGTATAATAACGGCAAAAAGGAAAAGTTGCTCAAGTAATATCAAGTTCA